ACGCCATAACCGCGAGCAAAATGCTTGGCTTGTGATGGCAGCACAGTATTTATGTAGAAAATCCCTGTTCAGTTGTCAACAAATGGGAATTCAGGAGGTGGAGGTGGCAGTAATGCCTGGCAACCACTGCTCTGCTGCTGCTCATCCATGGTGGATTGCTTTTCAGAAGGGAGGTAACGAGTACTGCAGGTATTAATGTGCCTGTAGGGTTAGTTAGTGATACAATAACAGTTTTAAACATTTAGCAGTTCAGAGCACACTGATGATGTACTAAGTAATATAATACACTAATACAATTTATTTTTCCTGATGTGTCTGATTGGCTGCTGTGGGTCATAGTACTTGGCTGCTGTGGGTCATAGTACTTTGGATGAAGCTACTTGAATAAATCTGAAAGACTCAAATATTTTATGATCAGGGTAAAATGAGAACAAGTAAAAGAAAGAATGTATGAAGAGCTTTAGGTGTCATGCCCAGAAATATGAAACAAAAGACAAAATCAATATATACGAAAAAAAAAAAAAAAAATCTTGTTTCAAATGATTGCCCCCCCTAAACCTTAAAGCCATTCATGAAGGTAAAAAACCTTCAGTGTGCAGCTTCCCCCCATGGCCCCCATCATACTTACCTGAGTCTGATCGTGTTCCAGCTCTTTGCATGAGAACAGAAGCTCTCCCCAGGCTCTGACTCCTCACTGGCTGAGACACAGCAGTGGGAGCTGTTGCTGTCAGTCACAGCCAGTGAGGAGGGAGTGGGGTCAGGACCCTGCCATGCTCTGTGTGTCTTATGGACATACAGGGCTGGCTTGGGAGAAAGCATGCACAAGTGTCCCCAGAGCAAGCAGCTTGCTCTGGGGCACTCGGCAGGGGGGAGGGCCAGAAGTGCCATCAGGGGCCGGAGAAGAGGAAGATCATGGCTGCTCTGTGCAAAACTAGAGCAGGTAAGTGTGACATGTTTGTTATTTTAATAAAAAAAAAACCCAAAGCTTTACAGTCACATAAATATAGGTTAGACCCCTTTCACATAGAGCAGACTCTGTTTTGATCAGCAGAGAATCTGTTCACTGATCCCCTGCTGATCAGAGCAGAGCAGGTGGATGACAGTTCCCTATCCATCAGTCTATGCAGAGTGGACATGGACATAACCTACACTGCTTTATGAGCAGCCAGCACAAGTCCAATTGCATCTAACGGTCCACAGGGGTGAATGGATCGTCAGATCAGGCCCGCCTGAAAAACTTTGGACCCCCGTGTGAAAGGGGTCTTAGGGTTTTGTAGTGCAATCATGTAACTAAATAAGTATATTATTCATATTTTGTGTGTATGGATTGATCCTGTCTTTAGTTGTTTAATATTTTTGTGTAGGATACCTAAAGCCTTTTGTTTATTTCACAATAGCCTGGAGTGAAGGTAGTTTCTCCAGTTTTGTGAAGTTTTTGCCCCTTGGGGTTTATATAATATTGCTAATTGGTTTCTGTGTAGAGCCAGTTTTTTCCTGAGTTCCTAACATGAAAACAAGTCAGTGATGTTGATATTTTCTGGCTTGTTTTTGTTAGGGTAAAACTATTATGCAGTGTTATTTAATGGTTTCTATCTGATTTATACAACAGGATGCATAATATAAACAATGCTCCACATTCCATCTCTGTTTAGTAATTATACTGTGTATGTCTTCAATACATTTCCATTGAATGTTTTCCCTATGTTGCTGGAGATATAGAAAATGTATGCTCCCACTCAGGTGAGCAGATTTGTTCGGTAGGACGCTCAGCCTTGACATTGACATTATGTATTGCTGTACTTTGTTGCAGTGCTCTGCTAATGGTTGTTACTTAAAATAATTTCTGCTTGCTGTATCAAAGGGTGTTTTATTGCAGAGGAGTTTGCAGCTTCTTGTTCCCTTGCTAAGGTGTGGGAGGGAATAATTACAGCTATGTACAAGGACCTGAGATGTGGGTCATGGTAAAATCTTATCCTTCCCTAAGGAGCGCACTCTTAACCCCTTATCTACCCATCACACCTTGGTTCACAAAAACCTGATTATGCCTTTTTGCTGGACTGGTCAAACCATGCATTTTTATACAGTCATTTTTTTTCCTAAGGTCATCCTGTGAAATGTGTCACTGCAAATGATGTGCTGATATAAAGCAGATCACTTACATTCTAATGGGAATAGTATGCGTGCAATCATTCGATGAGATTGGATGGATGGCTTCCATTTCTCTGTTATTAGATGTACACAATGAATAGTTAAAGCATGCTGTAGTCTTGTTCTGTTTGTGGTGACCTAGGGCAATCAGTGTTGTTTTTCTAATTAGGTCTGCTTTATTGTGTAATCACCAGCTGATGGATAAGTACGCTGCACCCTCTATTTTGTCATACAATCAATGACTATGCAAGCAGTAATGTATCCTGCGCTATTGATTTGGTCACATGACTGGTAATGGTAAGGCAGCCTCTTGGGAGCTTGAGCAGAATGCCAATCCAACCATTGCAAGGGGCAGTTTATGATTTGTATGTCTAATGCCTTTATTACTTCTGTTTATGATGCAACAGATCTCTGCTATATAGACTGCAAATTGTTTCCTTAGAGGTAAAGGCCAGATAATGCAAATGGGTAATATTGAGACCAGACTACTGTGCGAATAAAATGATTGATGTGTTTTAATTTACAGGACTGCTTGCTATTGGGAAATATCCTCTAATGGTTCCCTAAGGATACACTATCTTCCACTCCACCAGTGACTAACACAGGCCACATGTCCATGGATCACAGGCTCTAGATTGATTCTGTATGTAACATCTGAGCACCATGTGTTCTGACAGGGAAAGTGTCAGCCTGGCCTGCTATTGCTTATGTTTTACACTACTGGTTTTATTATAACCACAGGACACTGGAGTAGTTAGGTTTAGAATCTGTCATTGTATGTACATTAAATAAAAATCTGAATATTGCAAGGATGTACATGATGGATCCATAAATCGGTATTAAACCTCAAACAAAAATGTAATATATTGCAGTTTACCAATCTCTTAATTTGGGTACTTTATTACTTTCCCTTTCTTTTTTAGACTTTTTTCATTTTCACCTGGTGATCTGGTTGGTAACGCATTTCCTGTCTTAGGCAGCCCATACAGTGATCATTTTTTTGTTCAATGAAAAAAAAATGCTCTGATCCACATTTAAGGTGGATGGGAGAATCCCTTCCTCTTTGGCATGTATTCTGACAGCGGGGAGCCTTCCCCACCATCAGAATACACTGATCAGTCTTGCATTGCTCAGGGAAAACTTGACAGGCTGGTTGTCAACTGATAGATCGGCATGTGTATAAGCAGTCTGCCTATACATTGATCAAAATTGATCTGGTCCCTGCTGAACCGGTCATATTTGGACGGTATCCTCTAATGATTCCTTACGGATATGCTATCTCCCACCCCACCAATGACTAAGACAGTATAGCCGGCTCTCCACTCTGGATGAAAAGACAAGGCAAATACCATATGGAAAGCAGCATTGTCAGCCTAAGGGGAGGGTAATGATAGACAAAGCAGCAGATTTAGATAAATAACAAATTAAAGCTGAACTCTAGCTAACACTTCTTAAAGCAGAACTTCACTCTCTCAATCAACATTGGCTATTGTAAATCCTTATGCTGCTAACATTAGTAAATGGATAGAAAAGTGTGCTTGTGTTAAGCTGGGTTTTTTTCACATTTCTTCAGTTGCTTCCTGGTTTCCATGCCTTCGAGAGTCTTCTGGAGGGGAGGAGTGGTTTTCTCAGCTAAGCACACCCTCCTGCCTGCATGCCTGAGCTAATGGCAGATTGATTCCAGGAAGTAAATGCCACATGAATCATCTCTTACTCAAGATGGGCACAGCCAGAAATGCTAGGGGGTGTTTTTGTAAGTGATTTCACAGCAAAATAAAGCATGGAGACATGGATAGTTGGGGAAGTTAGCTTTGAATATAAACCCCTTAATGCCACACTTCCCAACCCTTTAAAGAGTTTCTGGTACCAGGAGGCGGGATTTTAGAGCATGTGACTGCCGTGATTGACTGTCACAGCGGACACATGATCGGAAAGCTCCTGATCGCAAGTAGTGATTGGGAGCTTTCTGTCAGGCGCCAGTAACTGTGCTGGGAGTGCAAAGGGTGCATGCTCTTAGCACATATTTGTTTAAATTTGTATACACAAATATGCAGCCTCTTGGCATCAAGGCCCACCAGCCACATATTTGCGTATTGTCGGCGCAAACGGGGTAAAAAGGAATTAGGTAGCAGTTTTGGTTTGTGGTGCTTAGATACAATGTAGTTCCACTTTATGCAGTTACAGCAACAGTTTTTTTTTTTCCTGTTGGGATAAAGGTTTTACATAAATGAATAAAAGCTGATTGTTGTAAGCATAGTTAAATGTTTTTTTCTCAAAACTCTAACTGCTACTTTTGCTGAACAGCTTAGTCTGTTAGAGCAGAACTATACTAACCTCAGTTCCAGTGATTTGTGCTGTCCCCGAGCACCCCACCCAGCTGCTGAATTCTTCAGGTGGCAGGCATAGAATGCACGAAGGTAAAAAACTTTGAGCTTTTAGAACCACTTTAATGCAGAAGGGACAAAGCATGTCTCTTCTATATTAAAGTATAACTAAAGGCAAGAGTGCAGAGGGATTAGAACCCCTGTCAGGTTTTTTTTTTCATTGCTGTCCATGCCCCTGTTAGGAAGATTTACCCTCCCTATTTGTCCTGTTTACCATTATCATCCAAAGTGAAAGTAAAAGAAAATCCCAAGAAAAGTAACAGAGGGGGAATCTTCCAATGGGAACACTAGTTCTGGCGACCTGGGGGTCCCCTAGGGATTCCCTTAATTTGCAGGGATTTCCTCTCATTTCCTGTTTAGTTACACTATATTGCCAAAAGTATTGGGACACCCCTCCGAATCATTGAATCCAGGTGTTCCAATCACCTCCATGGCCACAGGTAAAAAAAAAAAAACAAGCACCTAGGCATGCAGACTGATTCTACAAACATTTGTGAACAAATGGATCGCTCTCAGGAGCTCAATGAATTAAGGCGTTCTACCGTGATAGGTTGCCACCTGTGCAATAAGTCCATCCATGAAATTTCCTTGCTACTAAATATTGTACAGTCAACTGTTAGTGGTATTATAACAAAGTGGAAGCAACTGGGAACAACAGCAACTCAGCCACGAAGTGGTAGGCCACGGAAAATGACAGAGCGGGGTCAGCGCATGTTGCAGCACACAGTGCACAGAAGTTGCTAACTGTCAATAGCTAAAGACCTCCAAACTTTGTGTGGCCTTCAGATTAGCACAATACAAATGAGAATAGAGCTTCATGGAATGGGTTTCCATGGCCGAGCAGCTGCATCCAAGCCTTACACCACCAAGTGCAATGCAAAGCGTCGGATGCAGTAGTGTACAGGACGCCAACACTGGACTCTAGAGCAGTGAGATGTGTTCTCTGGAGAGATGAATCATGCTTCTATGTCTGGCAATCTGATGGACGTGTCTGGGTTTGGCGGTTGCTAGAAGAACGGTACTTGTCTGACTGCATTGTGCCAAGTGTAAAGTTTGGTGGAGGGGGGGATTATGGTGTGCGGTTGTTTGACAGGGGTTGGACTTGGCCCCTTAGTTCCAGTGAAGGGAACTTTTAAGGTGGCAGCATACCAAGACATTTTGGACAATTTCATGCTCACAACTTTGTGGGAACAGTTTGGGGATGGTCCCTTCCTGTTCCAAAATGACTGCACACCAGTGCACAAAGCAAGGTCCATAAAGACATGGATGATCAAGTTTGGGGTGGAGGAACTTGACTGACCTGACCTCAACCTAATAGAACACCTTTGGGATGAATTAGAGTAGAGACTGTGACCCAGGCCTTCTCGTCCGACATCAGTGCCTGACCTCACAAATGCACTTCTGGTAGAAAGGTCAAACATTCCCATAGACACCCTTAAACCTTGTGGACAGCCTTCCCAGAAGAGTTGTTATAGCTGCAAAGGGTGGGCCGACTCAATTTGAATGCTGAGGACTAAGACTAGGATGCCATTAAATTTCATGTGCGTGTAAAGGTGGGCGTCCCAATACTTTTGGCAATATAGTGCATGTTACAGGAAGTGAAGGGAAATCTCTGCAATGGGGATGGCAAAAAAAAAAAACAGATGGCTAAAATGAAAAAAAAAAAAAATCTGTGTGCCCATTTTACATTTTTCACTAAAGTTCCACTTTAAAGAAGGCTGAAAAATAACAGACTTACTGGCAGGATCAATATGTGAAAACAAAGGATAAAAGCCTCAAAAAGAAAAGAAAACTAATACAGCTACAACATCTAGAAATTGGTAAACTGCAATATATGACATTTTTGTTTTTGGGTTTCATATGACTTTAAATAAAAATAGATAAAAGTCAACCAAAGAGTATAGGAAAAAGCAAACCTCCTGTAAGAGAAGAGTCAAATTCCTTAGTAGACCTCAAGCATTATATAAACAATATAAAATATGTCGCTAGTAAAAATATTATCACAATGCCAAACTTACTGTTTAGATATATTCACTGGGTGTGTACAAGTTAAGTTACTTTAAAAGACTGAATTCCACCCAGTTTGATTTTGTTTTTGAATAGACTTTCAAGAATTTCAGTTCTTTACTGGTCTTTACTGCTGGCCATAGCTCAGTGGGAATATCTCTTCCAATATGGCGGTGGTGTTCAGGGCTCAAGTCAGAGCTGTAATTCCTGTGCTTCTCTTTGAAGACCATTCTTCATCTTTTCTTTTTAAAACAAAGGGTGTTGTGACACCGTAATAATTGTGTCAATAGACACCTAATGGATCATTCAAAAGAGAATGTATTTCACAGAGAGAAAGCAGAAGGATCACAACAGAATTATGATTGTCACAGTTGTCCCAGGTGTGGGAGAGAGACCTTCTTGCTGTGTTGAGGATCGATTTAAAGCTGAATTTGGGGCACAAAATTTTCCATTAAAAAATATTCTGTAATAGCCACAAAGGATTTAAATCTACTTTGCATGCACAAACTGCCTTTGCAAATGTAGATATTTTCATATAAATGTAGCAGTGACATCATCAATATGCTGTACATAGCCTGTGCAGAAAGCAGGGCTGTGGGAGGAGCATAGCAGCCCCACCCACTACAGGGTGCCTGTAGAAAACTACAGGAGGGGTGGAGACAAGACCTGTCACCCTTCATAAGGAGAGAGAGCAGCAGTGACTGGTCTTTACTACAGGAAGCACCTGCAGAGAGGCAATGTTTCAGGCTGGATTACTGTAAAGATTTGGAAGAAATACACAAAGCACACCAAGATTCAAGGAAAAGTACACATGACTCCTGTATATAAATAGAATTAGTTAATCCCAGAGTTCAGCTGTAAAGACTGCTTTGGTGGTAGTTCATCGAAAGCTCAAAAATAACATTTTGGTAGTGTTCCATAGTTAAAGTTGAAGTTTAGGTATGGCAAATTTTACATCCAGTAAGATCAATGTACGTTTGTATCTGCTATAACGGTGGGATCCCCATGAAAAGTGGAAATCCCTGTAATAGTCACCACTGCTAGTGTTCTCCACTAGCTTCCAGATCCCATGCAGAGCAGCTGCCTTCTGCTTAATGAAGGCAGGTGAATGCTCTGTACAGGCACCATTCAGAGAACACTTTGCATTTTTTTTTATGTAACAGGCTCTCTGATTGGACAATGTGGAGACCATGATGTCACTGCCCTGTCTTTCCACCTTGTCCAGTCAGAGAAAGCTTTTCGTTCATTGAGAAAACTGCAGAGTGTTCCTGAATGGTGCCCGTGCCAAGCTAGATCAATCTACATTTCTAAAAATTGCAATAACTTAAAAATACTGTAAATCAGTTTTAGACTGTTTGCAGCTTATAAGTATCATTACATTTTGTTAAATCACTGCCACAAAGTTGTAGAATTGCCTAAAGTATAACTAAAGGCGAAACAATTTTTTCAGTTTTTGGATATTAGAACACCTTTGTGGTTTTTATTGTTGGATATTAGAACACCTTTGTGGTTTTTATTGTTGTATGTGTACCCAATCGGGAGATTTATTTATTTTAAAGTACTTATATAGTGCCATCAATTTACATACATATATTGTACATTCACATCAGTCCCTAACCCTCAAGGGGCGTATAATCTAAGGTCCCTAACACTTTACATATATATTGTACATTCACATCAGTCCCTAACCCTCAAGGGGCATATAATCTAAGGTCCCTAACACTTTACATATATATAGTACATTCACATCAGTCCCTAACCCTCAGGGGGCGTATAATCGAAGGTCCCTAACACTTTACATATATATTGTACATTCACATCAGTCCCTAACCCTCAAGGGGCATACAATCTAAGGTCCCTAACACTTTACTTATATATTTTGTACATTCACATCAGTCCCTAACCCTCAAGGAGTGTACAATCTAAGGTCCCTAACTCACATTCATACATACACATACTAGGGCCAATTTAGACAGGATCCAATTAACCTTCCAGCATGTCTTTGGAGTGTGGGAAGAAACTGGAGTACTTGGAGGAAGCCCACACAGGCACAACATGCAAACTCCAGGCAGGTGGTGCTGTGGTTGGGATTCAAACCAGTGACTCTAGTACTGCCAGGTGGAAGTGCTATCCACTAGGCCACACTGAGATTCACCCCCTCTGTTTGTCCCGGGGACCGTTATCACAGAACGTGACAGAAAACTCCAAATTTTGAGTGGCTACTAAAACAGGAATGGAGGGAAATCTTCCAAAGTTTAGTCTTCAGTTCTACTATAAGAAGCCCTTGATTGGATAACACAAAGTATTGGTTGCCCCATCACTGTCTAGACTGAACACCTATAACACTCACCTGCTTTACAGAAAAGAGAACCACAAAGAGGTATATTATTACAAACAAATTGAAACAGGAAATTTGGCATTATGATTTGACACATTGAGATTGTTTTCCTTTTAGTTTATTTGATTAGCTTTTATGTAATACCAAGTATATCAATATCAAATATTTGCCTACGTTGGTTTGAAAATAGCCAAGCATTATTTTGGCATAAAACAAAAACAAATATTGTGCAAAGCTGGGTTGACTTAGATGCCAAAACCAGGACTGACCTGCATTATTGCATCTATGTGGATGCTCCCAATTCCTATCTGCAGTGTACAGTTCCCAATCCACATAGTTATTAAGTCAATGTTGTACGCATCCCAAGAACCTGGTGTCATAAAATCAGTTGTGTATTTACCACAAGGCAAACAAGGCATTTGCCTAGGGCAGAAATTTTCAGGGGGGGCTGCTGCCCCCCTTCCCCAGAAGAAGACATACATGTGACAGGGATGGGGACTTGGTGAGACTCTGCCGTGGAAACCAGGGAGGCTGCGTGATACTGGATGTTGTAAGCTTCCCATACAAGGAAGGAAGACATTGGCCTTGGCTCCAGGGATGCACCTGTTTTCCGGAGAAATTGCATGACTAATGGCGGAATGGGGTGGAACTAATGTGCCAGTGCAATTTCAGGTGCAATTTGGGAACTGAAATTGCACCGGAAATTGCATCTATGTATGTGAATGTCAATGTTCTTAACATTTGCTGCAGCCTGATTTCTAAAGTAGTTCTTGCATTACTTTTTCTGCATTTTTGTTGTGATTTCACATACATAGAATATAATGGAAATTGCATTGCAAATTGCAAGAAATCATTGAAAATCTTCACAAGTAGCAATAAAGTCTTCAGAAATTGCGCTGAAATTGCACACTAATCACACAATTTTAAATAGCAAATAGTGTGACCAGTGACTAAATCCACCAATTTAACAGTTTCCTGGTACATGCTGGGAATGTAACTGTCACTTTGGCTTGTGCCAAACTGTGAAACCATCAAATGACTAGTGCAGCATAATGGCAGTTGAAGATCAAACAGAGGCTATGATGGCAGTTTCCCTGACTGAAAAACAATAGGAGGGTTTAGTTCCACTTTAAGTGTATCTAAAGGCATTTTTTTTGGTAGGGTGGTGAGGGTTTAGAAGCCCTGTCAATGTATAGTGATGCCAGTGAATATCACTGGAATCAGCAAATACACGTATATCAGTACAGAGCTGAGGTTTTTGAGCTTGCCTTCTTACAAATTTGAGACTATATGCAGGCTTTAATAGCAACCTGAGTGAACAGAAACTTTGTATCTCTATTAGCATTTTTTTCCGGTACAAAGTGAAAGTGTAAACGTATCCTTCAGTGACTGAGATACGTCCTAATGATTACCTGTCAGTGATCTGGATAGGAGCCAGACTCTTCAGTACAGACAAGCTTCCATCTGATCCTCTGAGATAATCCTTTTTGCATTGTCCTAGAGTGCAGATATAATCAGGGGAATTCAATAAAGCACTTGCTCCATTTTTCTGGCAGTATGATCCTGAGAGTCCTGTGTCAGCCCTGCAGCCAGTTTCGGTAGATTTACTGAGTTGTGCAGCAGTCATTTAGTTCTTATTTGCGTCTCTTTAAAAAAATGAGTGTTACTGCACCAAATTAAATTATAACTACCCTCAGTTCATGGATAACAAAACTGGAGGTAATTAGGACAAACTCAAACTTGCCTTACAGAGACAGGTAGAGTGCCTGTCTCTGAACACTGTGTAGCAGGAAACATATTTGCTGCCACTACCTCCTCCCCTCCCCACCTGTCACTGGCTGTCAAGGACTCTGTCAGC